GACACAAGGAAACTTTCAAGTTTACGTTTTAGAAATACTACTGTACCATCAATCATGGAAAAAATAATAATAATAATATACAGCATTTCTGCTTATTTAGCAATATAATAATATTACTTAATGCTTTGCACAAAACACAAGGAAACATCCAAGTTTACGTTTTAGAAATACAACTGTACCATCAATCATGGAAAAAAAAATAATAATTTTGCACATTGAATTTTTAAATAAATAATTTATTATTCCGAATGGTCTTACCTGTATGTTAGCCTAGACATATGAAAAACTTGAAAAATTAGGTGATCTACTGTATCCCTGTACTGTATTCATTACTAATTAGTAAGGTTTCAAATAAAATATATTTACTACATTATTATCAACAATAATAGCAAGTCTACTGTACAGTGGCCGAGCAGTTAAGGCAAGGGCTGCTAACTACAACCCTAAACATCGTCGCTAGTTCGAGCTGCTCCTCGCACAGGGTTCAGTTGGTAGTTACCAAGTATTCTCGCATAGCCTGAGGACTTAAAATAGAGGTCCAGTCACATCTGGGGTGCACTTTAAAGAACCCATTGCATCTATATCAGAAGAGTAGGAGGTAGGATGCCATGGTTCATTTCAGCCCCGTCTTAAAATGAGCTGTAGAAAGCACCTCTTTATGGCCGCTGGGTAGGCACGTACCACACCCATAAGCAATTTAGCACAATGACACTATGAGATATGGGGTTTCTCCTACATATACAGTAACTTTACCTACCTAACGGTACTTATTATTATATCCAAAAAAATAGTACTTAAAAACATGCTTTTCAGTCAATTGCATCAATCATTGCACTTAGTGAAATTTTTCGAGTTTTATCAAATACAGTAGTATCAGATATTGCTTGCTAAGTACACAAAAACAGATTCTATTGTAGTAGAGATAGAGTGTACTTAATAGTTAATAATAAACAACAAACCACGACCAGTTCAATATTAGGACAAACTAATAACAATAACAGTTGTATTTATATACTGTCTGACATACTAGTATTACTAGACATCATCATTTTAGATACTTTGAACTATGGATATGATCAAGCTATCTTGTGTAGTACAGTAAACTGTGTATGTACATTACTATACAGTAGTTTAAAGCATGACTTGTCCAGTATGAATTGAAGTCTCATTCCTGCTGATTTGTGACTGTACCGTTCAATAGTTCTGTCGCAGTGAATATGTACAGTTTAGCAAAGGAGCCAGTCCTGTTTTAGGTCTTGTTAAATCAATTTGCAATATTTAGTAATCCCAACCTTATAATACCAGTAAAAATATAACAGGGGTGGGTGGTTATGCCCGTTTCCCCTAACCACCCTTTTCCCAGCTGTATCTCATACTACGCCCAAGTTTTTGTCAAACAACATTTTTTATATTAGAAAAATGGGTTGTATATCAAAATTTAGTTTTTTGCTTTGGAGCCTACTACTACTACTGTACTAATTAATTTAATTAATTTAATTTACTGTAAAAACAGAATAGAATTATTATAAATACCTTATGCTACCAAATATAATTTAAAAAAATAATATATTTTCAAATTAATCTTAGCCAAAGAACTATAATTTACATAACCACTGGTTAATGAGTAGCAATCAATCAAGTTACTGTACTTACAAAAATCTATTTTAAGTCGTCAGTCAGTATACCTATAAGTGCATAATGAGGTTAATTGTGGACACTTGCTCATCTGTCGGCTAAGAGCCATGTTGATGAACTTTTAAGCCAGGTAGAGTATTTACCGCATCGACCGACAATCAACCGAATGCTGGACAGTGGATCCATTTCCATTTCTGTCTTAGTACTCAACGATGCAACACCGTCTGCTGGTTGTTGGGAGAAGTCTGGACTTTGCCTTGCAAGCCTCATCAAGTTGCATTCAAGCATTGGCCATTAGGTCAATATATATCAATGTGTTAAGCCGCTTTACCCTTGTCAGTGAAGCATATAGTATATATCCTATAGTACAACAAAAGCCCTCACATTTGGAAGGAACTCAGAAAGATTCCATAGCACTAAACCAGAGATTCATAGCATTTGGGAAAAGACTTAGCAAACATAATACATTGATTAACCTCAAAATCAAAGAGGGATAAATCTATTAAACAATAATCATCACCAGCAGATGTCAACAGCTGTGATATCAATGAATGAAACTCTTCTTTAATCTGCAATAGAATGCAAGAATGGAATGATAGTATAGTAATATTTTGGAGGCCAAATTCAAGGGTATTGCAGCTCTACTATATAGTAGACATGTTTATATAGTACAATAGTGGTGTTGGAATCTCTGTCAATTAATAATTTTTTGAAAAGGTGAGACTTTTAATACTGGCTTTAAAAATCATCAGAGGGCAAAAAAAAAACACAAATAAAGTCTGTTTATTCTTATTCAGCAAAATGATTATGCCAAAGCATCAAGAAGAAAAATAAAAACAAAATTTGATTGATGAATGTAAAGAGTGTACTGTGTATATTAAATGAGATTGATAAATGCTATAAATTTATATAATTAAGGAAGAAATATCATATTTTTGGAGATTTCAAGGGAATGAAGGGCATAAGCCCTATAAAAAATATTAGTTTATCACCCTATTTACTGTAGGCTGGAAAAGTGATGAGGAAGGAGACTTCTTTTTTTCTTATTTTGCTGAAGCCAAATATCACCCTTGGGTTATTTGCTGGCACATTGATATTTAAAGTAAAACATTATTAAGATAATAAATAATATCTACTAACTAATACATTTTTTTTTTAACATTTCAAATTTTTTTCATGCACACATGGGTGATAAACAAATAAAAATTTTTATTGAGCCTAATAAAAAGAAATAAAAAATTTTTTTTTTTCTGAAATTTCAATTTTTATTGGCCAAAAATAAAATTATTATATTTGAAATCACCATTATTTGCGGTCGGAGGGTTCGCTAAACAAAGTGTAAAAAAAGTTTCGCCTAAACAACACATTTCTTGACATACTGTAACCTTCTTCTACTTTCAAAATCAGAGGCAACTATAGAAAATGCTGTTGTTCCTAAATCAATCCTCAGTATTCATTCTAAATAACTTTTGATAATAATCTATTAAAACAATCGCCCTCCAATTCGAGACCACTTTTAGGATCTCAAAATTTGGGGTGGTCTTGAGACCCAGTCTCCAATTACAGTAGAGGGTTAGTTTTGTGGTAAAATATTGAAGGTTATTATTTTGTTATTTGAAAAAGTGGTTTCATTGGAGGGTGCAGTGTATATATTTTAGTCACTATCATCTGCTCAAATTACTACTACTGTCTGTACTCAAGTTCACCTTACTAGTAATTTTTAGTAGGGTCATCCTACTTTGCTCATAAACAACTTATCAACTTGTACCATATGAAAGTTAGGTCAGTTATACAGAAATAAACAAAAACTTCACTGTTTATTTATGTGGGAATATTGAAAGCTATTAGTATGCAAATAAAAGCTAAATCAGGAAGCCTTATTGTGTAGTGCATTATTTCTTTAAGGTTTTAGGTGACTGAACTGCTACAAAATTACAACTTCCATGCCAACAAACTTTGGTATTATTAGGCCATAAAAGTTTGAGTTTCTATGCTAATTGATCACACAATTAAAAATTATTGTAAACTTGGAATACAATTATACAAATCATTGCAATTCAAACATACTTTCTCACATATAAGACCAAATAAAAAATTAAATAATTATGAATAATTGGTAACTTATAAACTGGGAATATTTATTTTCATTTGGAAAAACTTGTGTCCTTGAAAGCTGAAACTGAAGTGATACTGAAGTCATCAACAAAATCATTGATACCATCCAATATCAATAAGTCACTAACCTTTTGATATGCAGTTCTGTAAACTTCACTCCCAATGGGGATACCTAACCGTGACCCTCCCTTTCCCCTGCAAAATCCCACTAACATTCTCATTATATGTGCTATAAAATTATTTGATCTTTCAATGCTTTAAACTGAGTCACAAATACATTCCATACCTACATGGTTGATTTTTTTTTCAAATGAATTTCAACACTATAGTACATAATTGAACATTCTGCCATGGTTGTCTACTGAGGCTATAGCATATGTACAGTAGCATCAATCCCTGGAGGTTGGTCCCCCTGTAGCATGTTGTAGTATAGACCCCCGGAGATCAGAAGTAATAGCATGCAGATCATACACCTCCTGAGAGGAAATATTTCCTTATTTTAAAAAAAATGTCATATTATTTTTGAAAGTCAGCTGTATGGTATGCAAATAAAGGTCAAGGGTTACCTCCCACTGGTAATTGTCCTATAAATGCTTGGGTGAGGTTTGAGACGTGTTTTGCCTGAATGACTGTACTGACAGATTGCCTGCCTACCCCCTTCATCAACCAGTTCAACAACACTCAGCTGAGTCTCACCTGGCAACTTGTAAATGATGAAAAATAAACAAAGCTCCATACTACAGGTATATCTCAGTAGAGGGCAAGTGAAATGGACACCCAGGGTTGCCAAATCTTGTATTTTCAACGAACCTGAACTTGGTCAATGTTTCATAGCAAAACAGTTCCAATAAAATATGCTTATTTAAAGGAAGTTGAAATGTTATATTTGTGTTATTTCAAATATCTCTCGAGCTATTTTTTTAAATTTTAAAATAATACATTTTCAAATTTTTGCTGAAGTGTTTATATAATGTGCTATATAGTATTATTATTGTTACATATTACAGTAAGTTTTAAATTATTTACTTACATGAAAGTGGAATAATTATTTTATGTAACTAAGAAATAAGTACTGTTGTAAACATTTTGATCTGTTGTTAACTGATTTTCATCAGACCACGGCTGTTTACTGGATGGTGTCGTTTAAATATATCACTTTGGACCGAAAAGTAATAGTGTATCTCTCGCTTTACTTATAACTACTCCACTACCATAAACAGAAACCAGATTTCTTGAGCTGATTTACTTACAGTTTATATGTACTTGTTGGCAACCCATCTGGAACCGATGTCTGCGAAGAACATGAAACATCCTTATTCCCGCGTTCGTCGCTTTTAGTGCGTTTCTTACATGTACAGACCTTTGGACATACACTGCCAGCGCTTGCAATTAATTCCACAACAATGATGGTGAGGACGACGAGAAGACCGTGAGAGATCGTCATTCTGAAGTTCTGTCTACATACCAACATACGAAGCTAAACAACCGGTAAAAACTAAACAGCTTTAAGTCATCATTCATGAAGATCACAGTTAAGACTTCTACCGGAGAATAAATCCAATGTGAAACTGTGAATTACAGTATAGAAATGTTAATCACAAATGAAAGTCATATAAAAATCCTCAGGATGTATTCCACCAAAGTCTGAAATTTAGAAAGAAGGAGAAATATTGTTAGAAATCATATTTATAACACATTACATTTCGAAAATAATTGTTTATGAAAATTATATTATTTAATGTGCAATTTTATGAGATATTGTTGCAGATGAAAAAACCTGAACAAGTATCTATAAAATGTTGTCACATAAAAATACACAATAACAGAATGTTACCATTATAAAGACAAGATGGTACAATTCCTTAGTACAGTATTCAACACTGGCATACAGTAGGAATGCCATGGGATACAATGGTATTAACAATGAAAAATTATCTGTTATTTATATTATCAAAATGAAAGCTAAATCTATTGTTGTCATGTATGTCACTTATCACCATTATGGCAATAATACTTATTGTGCTTTAAAAGAGGCAGAGACAAATTCTCAAACCTAAAATGATTACGGAAAGAGCCATCCTTTTCCAGATATTATTACATTGTGATTTAAGTATAATAAATTCCAGGTTTAGAGTCCTTCATAAGAAATTTGATATTATAATTATCATTATTTAATGGGTTAAAATTAAGAGAATAAAGGTCAAACAAAGCCTATAGTAAGTAGATAAGCAATTAAGTATGAAAAATTATAATTTAATTGAGGATGAAAAAAAAAAAATGTTATTGGCAGTAGGGAGACGATGAGATTTTAAAGAGGGCACAGGCCCTCATGCCCCCCACCCCCTGCTGGATCCACGCCTGACTGTCCACTATTAACAATTATTTGTTGAGATCATGAACATACTGTTAAAAAAAAACTATTGCTGAATCATCTTATAAACTATGACCTAGTTTTTGAGAACAATCAGCAGAACAATTAATTACATTTATTAGTTTCAACAAAGCGATCAACTTCATATCATCGAACAAAAAGACCGGCACAGTGACATTCAAAAAGGCCGGCATGGTTATATTCAATAACTATTGCAGTCATCATATATTTTCATATTATCAAATACGTTAACGACTCATCTTTCTTTAAGTTATTTATCATTATCAATACTTCAGTAGAAAAATATTAAAATAAATATTAAATACATCCTAGTAGAAGACACTTTAATACTTAAATGTACAGTACTCCATACAGAATACTGGCTACTCTGTATATATATCATAACTGATTACATGAAAATAGTAAAATCAATATGGCAGATGGCTACATTATTATCAATACTTCAGTAGAAAAATATTAAAATAAATATTAAATACATCCTAGTAGAAGACTCTTTAATACTTAAATGTACAGTGCTCCATACAGAATACTGGCTACTCTGTATATATATCATAACTGATTACATGAAAATAGTAAAATCAATATGGCAGATGGCTACATTATTTGCCTGAATTTTCTTTTTATATTGGAAAAATTACAAAAAGTAAATGAGTATGCCTATATTTTTGACTGACGAGAAGCAGAAACTAACTGATGAATGATGGGAGTGGCCTTATATAGCACAAGTAATGTATGTACTGAAGATGATAAATATAGGCCTATGGAGAACAGATGGTTTTTTTACAAAGTTATGATATATAAATAAGCATTTGAAAGTTAAAAAGAGGTAGCAATTTAAATGAAAGTTGGCCCATAGCGCCAACATCGGGTGCCTCAACATGGGTTGCCTCCTCCCATAGCTTAGGCCTGGGCAGCCTACAGAGCCGCTGGTGAGGTCAAGGGGTCATACAGATGCAGTGCGAGTCTGGTATATAAAATATGGCATGGAACTGTTCCGTGTTATGCGACTTACAGGTATGGCCAGTTGTGGTATCAACAAAAGGAATGCTTTAGATCAAGAATTTAATTTAAATTATTCTTAGAATTTCTATTTAATTATGTTTTTTCTAAATAGAATGACCTGTTAATTCAGTAGGTAGTAGAAAAACAATAAAATCGGTAGCCTACTTTGCGAATTCGGTAGGGTTTGCATGTACGCACTCTCTATTAATATCGTGAAGGCATAATGGTTTCATACATAGGTCATGCATCATAGATTTCAAAAGTAAGTATAGTACATCGTCAAAGGATGTAAACGTCAGAGAGAGGCTAGACAAACCCAGAACAATGAGGCTACTATTCTCTGAACATATTTGATAATAGCAGTTTGAAAAAAAAAATTTTGGACGACGACCCAAACAAATATCCATGTAAGTTTGCCGCAACACATACTTCCCTGAAGATACTAAAAATGGATGATTAACTGTTCAACAAAATTGAAGTAAATATGTTTAAATTATACTTAAAATGCAATCTCTCTATTATAGCAAGTTTTAGCAGGATGTAAAATTCAACTTTAATTTACTTGGCGACCCAATTTTGGGTCATGACACATGTTTGAGAACCGCTGTTCTAGACCACTGATCTCTACTATTAATGGCTGGATTGCTCATCGCCCAATCCTGGGCGATGAAAAGAGTGAGGCCTCTGACGCCATGTTGGAGGGCCTAAGTGACGTACCAGTTTAGAAAAGTTTCTTTTGGTATTTGTTTAAATTATAGTTAAAAATAACGATTCTTGCAATACTTTTCAATAATAAATTTAAATTTAACGTAGGAATTTTTTTCAAGCCATCTAACCACTAGACGTATGCAGTTTTCAAAAACACGAGCGAAGTCGCGTTTTTATAGTGACGTCGATCCCTAACAACGCAAATAACTTCGCTTGCGCTTTCTTAAACTGCATCAAAAGTCACATCAATAGATAGTTGATAATAATCATTAATAACAATAAAAAAACTAACACCACTAAGATTAAAGTAATTAATTATACAAGTATTTTTTTCAGGAAGTACATTCTAGAGAACATCATGTATACATTGTGACAATTATTATCATCTTATTTTTTATTAAATTTTATGGGCTAAAGATCTTTCATTCACTGAAACCCCAAATGTCTATTGTTGATGAATCGTGGTTCATAAAAAGCTTACCAACCGACCCAAAAACATCAAGCTAGTATTACCTAATAAATTCAAATTTATTATGAAAAAGTTTTTCAAGAATCGTTATTTTTAACAATAATTTAAACAAATGCTAAAAGAAACTTGTCTAAAATGATACGTCACTTAGGCCTCCCAAATGGTGTCGGTGGCCTCACTAAAACCAGCCAATGAGCAATCCAGCTATTAATTATAGTAGAGATCAGTGCTCTAGACTAGTGCTTCCCCAAAGTTGTCTTTAGTTTAGTGATTCTGCGCACCTAGTTTCCTAGTGACTTTCCACTGGTTTTTTTTTATGTAGGCCTAGGTGCATCCCCTGTGCAATTAAAATACATTCACAGTATGTAAACTTATACCCAACCCAGCCCACCTAGCCTACAGCACAGTAGTCTACACAGAAGCAAACCTCATCATTACCGACTATTCAAATTTGCACAAGGAACATGAGGCTTGTACACGGGCCCGGCCTGCCGAAGCCTAGGCCTACCCGAGCGACCAGCCGAGCTTGGTTGGCTCACACAAATTACTAATCCTGCTCCACTACCAGGAAATTCAATAAGTAATCACAGACTAAGAATTTATTGCACTCTAATCATTTCGGGAAACTATTAAATAATAGGTTTAAACATACGCAGTCCTGACGTCTACACTGAGGTTTATGAAAAAAATTTGGACAATCGCCTGCTCTCAAACAGTTCACGCATGGGCTCCCAGACTGAAGTAGGCCTCCCAGGCCTAGCCAAGAGATTAACAAAACATTTAAACCCAGCTCGAGATGGGAAGGCCTGCCTGGTGCGTTACTTACAACACCCGCGCTGGAAACCCCAAGTTAAAGTATAAAATATAAAGTATTAATTTCACCTTTAATCAGATCTGGATCGTCCAAAACATTCCTCAGACTCAATTTGCAAAGTATGTGAAAGGTAACCATCAAACTTTTAGTCGTGTACTTCTAACGTGATCAAAATGACAATCTCTACACATTTTCACGTCGAAGCGCTTGCTTGATAACAAAGATTCCTTCAGATCATTCATCAACAAAACTGGTTCAATGACCTTTTCCAGTCGACGTCACGTCTGTAGGCGATACTATTGGCTAATACTAAATTGTGCTTAAAAGTTTATTGAAAATTGAAAATTATAAAGTTTTCGATTTATTTACGAGCTTTTATCGTTTTGTACAAAATGAGATGATGTGATGTTTTTTTTTTTGGTGAATTTTTCATCATTTTCCTGAAGAAATGCAACTGTCGTGAGAGCATGAAATATTCATTTGGCACAAATACATGAAACGAGGACAACGGGAGTTATTATAAAACAGAATCGTGTAATTGCATTATCGGCAAAATATTGTTACTTATCGTAAAAGGATTTAGATCCCTCGTGCTTGACTTCGGCTCGGTTCACAAAACTTACCTTTGAGACAAGCTTCACTCTACTCTCATTTTCCCTTTGATGAGTGCCAACCGCTTTACTCTAAATATCTCACAGTAAATTTTTAAAACACCGAGGAGGAAATACATTACTTGCAGACGATACAAAAGTAAATGAGAGAAAACATTGTGAAAATCTGCTCTTTCTGATCTAAATGTATGATTCCTATATAACTATATGTGACTGTGTTCAGGGTAGATTCGGGCAGTGACGTATCTAGGGGAGGGCGCGGGGGACGCACGCCCCCAAAAATGACTCGCGCCCTAGTCCCCCTCCCCTCCCACCAAAAATCACGGTCAAGTAGTTAAAAATCACCTAAAATCACCATATTTTTCGAATTATCGCCCCTCAACTGACCTTCGCGCCCCCATCAGCCCCCCCCCCATTTCAAGCCCTCTAGATACGCCACTGGATCACAAAAATCTAAAGCACCACCACTCCCACCCCATTTGGAAGTTTGCCAACATAATTTGTCCAAAATCAGACATACCCTCCAACTCAAGAAGACAGTCACCTCTGGCTAGCGGGTCCCAAGTAAAACTGGGATCAAGGAAGAGACTGTCCAGCGGACATATCCTAGGTCTGTTGAAATTGGGGTGGTAAGTGTAGGATTAACGTATATGCGTGAGTATTAAACAATATGGTGGAAGCGGCTTAGCGCAGTGGGATGGTTTGGTTTCCCCCTGGGTTTCAATCCTTTGCTGTGCATTTCGCTTGTTTTCTTTGAGCAAAGCACTTTATCTACATTGCTTCAGTCTAGTATCAAAGGTTACTCCCAACAAATTGCTGGGAGTAACCTTCAGTGGACCAGCTTCCCACCCAGTATTACATTCTCACGCTACAGACTGGGGATAAGCTCCAGCCCTATGAGTCCCAGTGGCTTATGGCAAGGATAGGGCACTGTGCGAAAGTGAACGTTAGCCGTATCAACATCATTATCATACACTCATCATTATCATCATCTTCCGATCATCATCGTTATTATTAATATCATTATTATCATCAAGATCCTCTCCATCGTCATAATTTTAATCACGATCATTATCATCGTCATTCCCATTATCGTTTACCACCATCATCATTATCACCGACCACCACCGTCATCGTCATTACTATCATCGTCATCACCATCATCATGAGATGATGAGAAAAACATATCCTCTTCTTCTTTCTCGTTCACCTCCTTTAGATAACATAATAATCAATTCGCCTAATTGGTTTCCATACAATCGCTACACGTTATAGCCGATAGCTTTCGGTGATGCTGATTGGTTGGTCGAATCGGGGGAGCCTTCCCCCGATTGCGTCGGGGAGAAAACACTGTAGCGACAGTAGTATAGCGATTTTAAGGAAACCAGGCATTTTATAATCCAAAGTAGAGCTGTAGTGGTAGATAGAATTTCTTCGAGCATTATCGTCTTCTATCATCATGAATTTTACATGTAAATTTAGTACAAATTAAACGAAAATTTTACTGACGCATAAATGATAGACCTAGGAATTCTATTCCTATCCTTGATAAACTGTTAGATTAGCTGGTGATCAATTTAATGATTTACGTAGTAAAAAGTATAATTTGGAAATTTATTATTTTCTTTTGTCGTTTAAGAGATATTAATTAAATATTTTAGATTGATGTAATATCCACAGAGTAATCTATATCAAGATATTTGAAAGTAAGGATTTCGACGAGGCTTGTGTATCATCTACATAGGCGGCCGGTCCGCCCACCCCTCTAAATTTTTCGAAATCATATAAAAAATAATAAAAATAAAGAAAAAAAAATATTCAAATTCAAGAATTGGTGTGCCACTACCGGTCATCTAGTCTGATGTGCCATAAAACTTCTCACATGAGAGTGGTCTAGACCCTTAATCTGTCAAAATACCTCTCCCATGGCCTCGTTTCGTTTTGCCACATTTAATAGATATACCTATAAGCAACACCTAAATTAGGACATATTGGACTTTCGATTATTAAATTTACTAACTTAACTCGATTGTTGTTTGTAGAAAAACATAGATATTGTATCTGTCTCTTATACACATCTTCTACAGACACTGTTAATGCTGACTAAGGGCTGTCTCTTATACACATCTAGATGTGTATAAGAGACAGTTTATATAGAGAGCGCTGTTAATAGAATTATGGCTTTCACTATTTAGACTACGTGAAATATTACTAAATGAATTGTGGGAAAATTTGAGATATTAAACTTCATCTGTTTATTATATTCAAATATTTTATAATTAGCATTAATAAGTAAATTGTATATATTTCTTTTTGCTGTTTATTTTTAAGGAAAATTTACTTCAAATCATGAAGACAGGAAAGATACCGTAAGTTAACTTTACCTACTGTACTTATGGTAGACTTGCATTCATGCAGATAGATAAAACCATCTTCGAAATCTTTGCTAAATATAATAGTATTAGTATTTGGAATGGAAATGACAGTCACGTGTCAGACATTAATACATAAAGGTTGCGATTCAGTGTCATCAACGACATTCAATTATGAGTGTGCTCTCAGCAATGACGGCCTAACAATACGTACTTATATTATTTCATAACAATAGGTGACATAATTAAGATGCAGAACTTGAAGAGGTTCACAAAAAGTAGAGCATCGAATATTTCCATTTTCTGAATATATAGAACAAATAATTTACTAGAGTGCATTGAGCATAATAAATATCATTTCTATACGCCCTATTCGTATTTTCCTCATTAATCACACGCGCACACTCGCACAGTCCATCCATCTAAAGGTATAAACGGAAGCGATGTCAATGGCGGAAGGGGTTTACTCCGGGCGGACAGGTTACCACCACCCCACCCACCCCCCACACTCTCCCTGTCGTCCACGACTCGTCGTCGACAGACTATAAATGATACATGATTTTCCTTTCATTTTTAATTTTGTGTGTATAATAACACGTTTTAGAACAGCTGAAAATGGCCAAAATTCATTTGCTCAGTTATCAAGGGTGGGTGGGGAAAGGGGGCTTTCTCTGGTCTGTTCCCCGCGGGCAGTCCTCTGTCAGAATATTTAGACTCCTCACTTTTCGCGACGCCGTCTATACAGCAAATTACACGATCGCTATTTTTAAATAAATTTGAGCAAACATGGATGATTAAAGTTGGGAATATGAAACTAATGCCTATAAAACTCAGCCTATTCATCGCGACAATAACTGCGCAGACTGACCCAAATTCCAAAGAACTCCACTATTACGTGAGCATGCGCAATCGAGATGGCTCTCGGTTGTAAATTTCGAAAGCACCCCTCGGGCCCCCTACAATATTCTTTGTATAATATTAGTAATAGGCCTATTGTTACCCAATATTGCAGCGCATTACATTTTTGTAAGAAGTCACTTTATAAACTACTAACTTAAATAATAGGCAAATTAAGATTGTTTTATGTTTATTGTTTCATGTACATGAAAATGATACCGGTAGCCCTTTTTAAGTTACGCAAAGGTATAAGTAGGCCTATATCACTTTCTTCATCTAAATGCGTCATATAGGCTATGCAACCAGTATTTTGTGTGAATGATGTTGCAAGATTTATGTTGCAATATGCCACTATATTAATGTTTGTTTGTGTTACACGATTGTTTTCCTCTCATTCAACTTCTAATCCTTGAGTTCCTTCACACTGACACAGGGCCTATCTTTCCTTTTTAAACATTTGAATAAATAATTCTTTTAAATTATCAAATTTTGTGTTCCGTGCCGAAATCTGCTGCTCTTTATATGATAAACTTTAAACTAGAATTACCCTCACATCTATAAATCAACATACGGTAACTAAACTGTGATAGTTCTTATTCATCTGCTTTCCATTCTAGTGCAAATTTGCTAAAATGATGAAGTCCATGAGCCTTAATGTTGATATTAATAGTTATACATCAAACATCTGCATATGATTGATGAATAGCCATAGCCGATAGAAATCAGCAAACGCGAGCGTATTTCATGTGTCCCCGAGGCTACGACTGTAGCAAAATAACTTGGAAACATGCTATTATTTCAGCGCTGTAAACTTTATAACAAATGCATCAGCATTATTGAATAATAAGTAAATTGATAGCAGGGAATAGTATGTAAAGAACACGTGAAATAGGACCGTTTGGAGACGTAGTAGTAATCTTGCGAAAGAGTATTGTCTACATGATGAACGTTTATCGTTATGCATCTGTCGTATGTAGGGCAGGATATGTCAGTTTTTGAACATTTTCTTCCAATCATCGACATATTTCAGAGAAATATGAACCGCAATTTCGGATAATCATTTGTAAAATTTTATTTAATTTGAATCGCCTGTTGAAATAATACAGGCATAACTTACAGTAGCGTGCTCATGCCAACATTTTGTAATTAACACGCACCTCGTCAAAAACAACCCTGGATAATTTGTGTATGGCGCCCTCAATAATTCCTTCATCCAGGGAAGTCTTAAAATCTGAAGACATAAATACACAAGATAAATTTTAAAGGATTTATTGATGGACACTGTTAATGCTGACTAAGGGTGGATCTAGAATTTTATAAACAGGGGAACTTGTGGGAGAGAGCCACAAATCTGTAATATATTTGAGCAAAGAAATTCTGTCAAAACAACTGGTAGTGGTAGTTTCCCCAGAGGGAGAACAAATGTGAAAGTGTACCATTTCAAAATTTCAATCACAATTTAAATTCGTCCAAGGGATTGTACAATGGCCAGTGGTGTAATAAAGAGGTCGGAGGACCCTGGATAAGAGTTCTTTGGGCCCTACTACCTTGGAGAAAACCCCACATGCTTTTGTGTATTTGACATTTTAAACAAACTTTATTTCGATTTTTTTTTTTACAAATTAGTGCTCCCTAAAATAAAGGCCTCGCTTGGTGTATGGGGAAGAAATACCAAGAAATACCTCGACCCCTTTGAGGCCTGGGGTCCCTGGATTTAACAAGTGATAGCTCATAGTTGTTACGCCACTGACAATGCCCACTCGCCTGCGTCCATGGACAAGGCATTTTATAATAATAACGATAGTGCACATATCCAGCTTTAGAAAATGCTGAAGGCGCATGAGATGGATAGATAGTAATCGACATTAAATACAGTTCGCCCTCAAATTTGAGGGCGAACTCCTTTGGGAACTCAAAATATGGGGTAGTCTCACGGTTCAGTCTCTTATTAGAGGGTTAGCTTGTGTTAAAAGATTGATGACTCTTAGTACTTTGAAATACAGTAGTAATCTAAAATTAGAGGGGCCTTGGGATTAAAAAGGGGTCTTAAATTGGAGGGCGAACTGTGCCGTCATGGTGCTTATAAAATTTGTGGAGTCTACACTCAAATTATGAATAAAAAATAAAAAAAATGAGAAAAACTACAACTGTCTTTAGATTAGCAGTCAATTTTATTCATTCTCCACACATAATACATTAGCTATTCCAGCCATCTACTTAAAATATTAAGCTGAGGATGTTGGTATAGCTGCTATGGCCACTATTGAGCCACTTCTTTAACCACTAACATACCAGTGTGTTTCATAAGCACATTATGTACACACTTTCAACTTTAAAAGTTTTTTTTCAGCAGTATAGGAAATAAGATGGAAAAAGAATGAAAACTTCAACAAACCCCTGAGAGATACTGCCCTTATTTGATAAAAAAAATTACAAAATATGGGTGGAAAAACCGGCCCCTATTCTTATCCGCTTCTATACGAAACCACTGTCCTAATATTCCAACAAATATTTACATCATTGGTCCACACTCAAGATTCAAAAATGTCAACTTGTTAACAATCTACGTTAATTAGTTCATTAAGCATGCACTTATATTCATCTTGATATCATACATATCCTTGTCTTGTTTCCAAAAATTATACAGCGAAAAAGACAGGCACAGTTTTTTTTAAAACTCTTTCTCTTTCAAGACTTTTTTAGGAGTGGCCTGACAAGAAAACACACTCAAATCCCTTCACTGAGGTTTCTATTACCTTTCTGTCTTACAAAAACATTTTGCTATGATCTTATTCTTATTGATACTTGCAGCTAGCAACCAAGATCGTATGCATCTCAATATTTCTCACTTTTCTTCCTGGTTGTTTGAAGGTATGTACACTAGAACACAGCTTAAACCAAATACTGCTGCATTTCTGTACCTCAATTTCTTACATTTTCTATATCTCCTTTGGTCATTTTCCTCTTTATTTTTTTTTCAATCTCTACTTCATCCTCTCATATTCACTTTTTCATAGTCAATTCTCGTGGCATTTTGACAATATAACACACTCTCCAGTTTTAATAACCACATTCTTTTCACTCGAAGCTTGTAAACATGTTTTGGTTTAATACAAGATTAGATGTATAAAACAACTTCATCTGTCCATTTTCTTCTTTTTTTCTATATAATATTAAACATGAATATTCGTAACATATCTTTTGATATTACCAAAAGCATGAAATTAAAAGGATGTTTACAGAATGGAAAGGAGAATGAGGAAAACAACTTAACTGTAGCAATTATAGCATATACTGTATATATGAATTAAGCCACACCCACATCATGAATATGCATTAATATTTAAATTTTAATGTAGCATAATATACCAATCAAGCCACACCCACATAATGCATATTCAGTCAAACCATAATGTAGCATTTATAATATATACTATTCAAGCCACACCTATCATGAATATGCACATCCATATTCAAACTTTAATGTAGCAATTAATAGCATTTACACCAGCCAGGCCACGCCCAAATCATAAATATGCACATTCGTATTCATAAATACCAACAGCAACTAATACATGTTGCTTACAGTTGGAAACAATATGCTAAGCAAAAAAAATGAAAAATAAAAACCAAGGGGAAAAACTTTAAAGACTACAAATTTACGCAATTGCACAGCTAAACCCTGCAGATTATTCTGCTAAGTTATCTAGCGATCTAGAGGGCTACTAAATCACAATTTATATGTCACCATTGGGTGAAAATATGTGAAAGGTTACAAATCCCAGTCTTAAAAAAGATACTAGTAACAAGCATACTTTCAAAACAGAAGAATTAATGCTAGTTTCAAAACAGGTTGCACACAGTAGAAATGACAATATTATATCATTCGTTTGTAGAATTCTACTGCTAATAAACGGTAAATTCTCAAAAATTAAACTGGTAACCGAAACCCATCACATTCTAAAATTCCAAGGCCACAGACACACCAGAATGACCTCTCCATTCCACTGCAGGAATTGCAACCCTGCACTGAGGTATCTTAACAAAACCTGATCTGTGATCTCACTTAAAATAAACCTGCAGCATTCCTGCTACAATAGATCCCAAAATGGATAAGCCACCGACCAGTATTATTAGCATCTTGATTATATAACACACACGCATCCTCTTTATATTTTCTTCAATAAATTTGTCACCGCATTCAATGTTTATGTAAGCTGCTACATGCGGCAAAACACCATCACAGTCACCATCATCGTCATCATCACCATCATCAATGGAAAAAAACTAACTTATAATCCTATTATGATTGAATTACAAGTACCACAAAATGAGTTATGATAGCAAAGTTATAATAGGCAAGAATTCTTAAAGATATCACACTACGAATATACGCAAATTCCCAGAAATTTCAAATATAACAATTAACATCTACATTATGTATTGTAAAGTGGTTTTTGCATTGCACTGCACACGGGTAACACACACTAATAATATATAGGGAAAACAAATGCGGTTTAACCTCGAAAAAATCATAATGAATACAGTCAAGTACTCATAAAACTATAAAATTAAAGTGAAAATAACAAAAAAGAAACTAGTAAAAAAGTAACATCTTAGGATGAATATAGCGATAAAACTATAGCAATTTTCAAAATTGATAAAGTGCAAATTTTAAAAATATCCCATAATCACACAATTTGCATAACATTTTTTTTTTGAGTTGAGATCAACAAGAATATAAATTAGCAATTGTAAAGTAGAAGGCATTCAGATATGAAACATAAAATTATAAAAATGAAAAAATAAGATCAATTCTAAATGAAAGAATGCTTTTTAAACAAGAATGTTTTCTTTGAGGATTTTGATAAAAAATTATGAATAATAATTTTAATAATAATGATTAATAAACATAATTAAATTCTAATAAAAGTTTAAAAACAGAATTTGAATTCAGTAGAAGTTTTCTTTCCCTCTGAAAATTTGCCCAGAAAAAAAAAAAAAAAAAAAATCAGAAATGATAAGAAAAGAAAATAATATAGAGGGGGCCTTTCTCAAATGAAAATTTGTACTGTTAGAATAAAATACTGAATTGTTAGGCCTTATGAATTTGCAATCAAATAATTGTACCGAAGCAATTAAAACAACCTTATACATAGTGAATTTAATGGATTTGGTTATGCTCATTCTGATGTATTTGTTCACTTTGTGTATTTTAAAGGATACTGTTACGAGCCATACAACTGTTTGCAATATCAACAGAAAATTTCTTTTCAAGAAAATTTGCTTGTTAAAGCTCTTGAAGTAATATGATGCGCAGGTTGAATAGTAATTTAAATTCAACTGATGAAATATTAAGATGGTACATCATGCGTAATCAGGTATATAGCCAATGCTAACGTGTCACTTAAAACCGCAAATCCCATAAATATCTTGTTTTGTTTCCAAGACAACTGATTCCTATTTTTGGCCATTTATATTATTAATCACATGACCAGATATAAAAAAATCAATTTCTGCGTGGAAAATTCATCTTGGATCATCAAAATCACGTAAAATCTATCTAAAATATTTAATTCATTATTAGACTAAATTCATTGTTAAAAGTATAGATACCAATTAATCAAAATCCAATTTCATTAATTATGATATTCAACATTTTATGATACAAAACTGTAATAAACAGTTTTCTAAATATAATTTTTTTCATCTGAAATCACTAGATTTTTATAATATCAAAGAGTCTGAGGAAATCTCCAGTATAGCATATTTCAAGATGAAAGTTAGGAATATACGACGGCTAAGGGAACACAAGGGGTGTGGGAGGATCATACAAGAGGAAAACAATACAGGAGTTGAAGGACTTGTATTTCAATAAAATAGGTATTCTTCCTAAATCTCAAATTTTTTAATTATTACTTTCTAGACAATGTATTTTTTTTACATATTTCTGATACTTTACAATAAACACACTATAAAACCATCATTATCAATTCATAATATTAAAAATAAGATATTAAGAAAAACAAGAAATGACATTTTGCCAAAACCTCCATAAAGCATAAATGTCCATCACAATAGGTAATTATTGAGAGGATTATGGGTAATAATTACTAGACATGGGCAACTTTTAAACTACATTCTTGCTAAACTTAAGACTACAAAATGAAAGATCCTTTCTGAATTTCTTTAATTTAATTGTTTTCAATTTCATCAAGATCCAACTCATTATCAGGGTCAATTGGGAAAATGATATCTTCAAGTGTGTCATCAAATTCGTCCTCGTTACCACTGTCATCCTCATCGCTGTTGCTACTGTGCCCTCCTAGGATCCGTTCATCATCGAACGTTTTCTCAAGCTCCTTTGTAGGGCTGGACGTTGGCGTGATAAGGACGCTCGACGCATGGTTTCCGTCGCACGGTGAGGATGCTATTGTCTTCAGACCAAAATACTGTTCCATTTCTGAACAATACATGCCTACTTGCTTTGACATTTTCTGAAACAGAGGAAAGAAATTGATGAGTGATAAGCATTAATCTGTAAGGTTATTAGCACACATTATTTAGTTGAGTGTATTTTTCCTCAAATAAAGCTTGTATACTTTTAAAAACGCTGGTAGAAATCCATTATCCAGGGGTATAATTATGAGTGTCATAACTCGCAGGACCCTGGAAATGTCTTTCAAACTAGATCTCACCACATTTCATTAACACTTGCCAAACTATGCTTGCAGGTTTTTTTGACAATATCGGCGACAACTGTCATGATAAATGATAATGGAACCTAGCAGAAGAAGTGTCCCGCATCTCAACATTATCAATGATGACGACAGTAATAAGTACAGATGTCAAACTCAATCTAATTAACAAACAGATCTAACAAATTATGACACTGAATGATAAAAATAATAATAATGATCCACAAATATGTTATAATTAGTATGACAAGATGATATTGGAAGTACTCATAATTTATAATACTAAATTTTCTTTTGCTATAAATATAATTTAGATGTATTTTCATGTTAATGGAATCAAAAGCAGTCATTGTTAATGGTGATGATTAATCATATTGATAATGAGATAACTATCCAAAAATATCTTTCCTACAGTATTGGGATATAGCCTAGTTTTGAATACATTATTAATAAAATTTATTAGTGAACTACATATTTTCATCAGTGGCAGACTTCACAACAGAAGGTGCATCCTAAAGGCCTGTTTATAACAATAACGATAAAAAGCTAAAAAGCAATTGTTCATATAGAAAATAGATTTATCAGTTATGCGATAACAACATATTTTGACAAATCGAATTAGATGACGTCATAATCAAGGGAAAACATTAAAATTGTAGTAGTAGCAACGTTTTTCCATGATTATGGCGTCATCTGATTTGATAAAATATTTTGTTATTGTATACATGATCAATCTTTATCGAATCGTCCTAGTGTAAAAATTTCTCTTATTTCTTTTGTTTTCTATATGAACGATTGCTTTTTAGCTTTTTTATCGTTATCATCATCGTTGAAGTATAAACAGGCCTTAACAGTACTAAATAGTAAAAGCATTGTCCAGACTATTTGACAAAATCATGTGACATGCCTAAATATGGTCATGATGACATCACATTTTGACCATATATAGGTATGCTATGACTATATTGGCTTTTTGTCAAAGAAAATTTGATGATCAGGACAGAACTTAAGCTGGGAATGTAATTTGAATGGTATTGAATGAAACATGTTTTAATGTAATGTGCATGTATATATTATATAAACATAGGCTCCTACTAATGTAATCTATTGTCTTGGGGAATTGTTGCAGATAAAAGGTCACTTAAAATAGGCCTACTGCTTGTCTGAGTACACTGGAAAAATGAGATGGCCTTGACAACCACTGGTAGCCTTTATCTGTTTATGCTGGATCCAGGAATTTGAAATAGAGGGGACCAAGGGAGAGATTTTTGCAGATAGAGGGTCTAGACACTAAGTGAGGTCTAAGAAATTTTATAATTATGGCACCTCTAGATGAATGGAAATGGCACTCTCATACTTAAATTTGAGTATAATTTTCTTTTTTTTCCTCCATTTTTCCCCAATAATTGGTATTGGTTTATATCAATGAGTAGATGTCAGCCAGCCTGATCATGTAAATGATAGGATGTTGACCACCACAGTAGCCTAGAAAGGACAGACCAACCTGATTACTGTACGTCAATGAAACCATGTTGGCCACTGCAAATAGCCAAGGAAGAATGGGCCAACCAGACCAATAAGTGCTTATATATCCTGATCATGTAAATGATAGGATGTTGACCACCACTAACTTGTAGCCTATAAAGGACAGACCAACCTGATTACAGTACGTCAATGAAACCATGTTGGCCAATGCAAATAGACAAGGAAGAATGGCCAACCACACCAATAAGTGCTTATATATCATTTAAGCAAATTTGTCGACGTCAAATCAGCCACATGTTGCTAGCACCCACAATTAGGTTACAAAGGATTGCCAACTTCATGTATCTAGTACCCTAAGATAGGCTAACTTAACATATGAATGAGATAATTCTGGCAACCACCAACAGGCTAGAAAGGCTTGGCGAACCTCATCAAATCAATGAGGTGAAGTCTGCAACAACCGGTATGCTATAAAGGGTTGGGCAACTTCAATTGCGTCAATGCAAACAAGCCTAGGAAGCTTGACCAATCTCATCACATCAATGAGATGATGCAGAAACAGCGCATGATTACATCAATACCAACATGCTAAATCAAGCACAGAAATAATTTCAACTAGATGAGAGGGGTCAAAAAACTGCTTGAGGTTGGCAATGAATGGATGCATGCTCCGATTATTCTAACAAATGAAAAGCAATGCATCAACTATTGGAAACATAATCCGAGGAGAAAGCCGTGTCAATATCTGCAAAGAATAGAACTTGCTGGCTGTATTGCCTTACCTAATGAAGTTAGATGTGGAAATCTGTTGCATCAACAATAAACATGCCATCCAGGCCACAACACACATTAATCACCATTATACTGCACATCGAGTTCAAGTCATTCCAAATTTCATTTCAATCTTTCAAAATTAAATTCATTTAGATTTACATTTTGCTTCTTCAGTTATGAATCGTTTCTTGTCTAATGAAAACATAATACGCCAGATTTTAGCATTTTGTTGAAAAAACAGCCTTCAAATTGATGACACTCAGAATGCATTTATTTGATTGTATAATTCGATACTAATGTTAAGTTGGGTTCACTGTGTCTGATAAATAAAAGGAATTGGAGGTTACAAAATTGGTAGGGCTCCTTTATGGGTGCTTATATAAACTAATGAAAATTTAGAGGAAATTTAGGCAGATATACTGAATTTCATTAGCCCAACATAGATAGTATATATCTGACATCATTTTGCTCTGCAAGGAAAGTCATAGCTGGATTTAATGTATGTACCATATGTACAGTATGTGTAGATTTTTCTTATAGTTTTGAGGTATGCTTTAATTTTCTAAATTTGACGGATATTCTGCCAGAGGTAACGTCTATCTGAATACAGCAACACGGGAATGACGAATCACTATATTGGCTAACAAATCATTATGCATGACACCTCCTGCCAAATTCATACAAATAAAATATTTCACATGCAGAAACAGATAGAGAACTTTGATACTGTTCTTTAGAAATTTGAAGTATGATGCGAGAGATGAGTCGGTGTTGATAATCCATCTGGAGGGAAATCACTTGCTCCATTCCAGGTGCTTATTGCATTTCATAAATTTTTATTGCCACTTAAAACATACACCCAACCCCATGAAATCAAATTAGAAATGAAAATGAACAAGCAGGTAATGAATCAAATGTTAGCAAATATATCTGTATAGTAAACTAAAGCAATATTTCTTGGGAGATAAAAGCAAAAAAAAAAAATTTAGTCGGTTTTCAAGATACGCAATCAACGCTGAGTCATCCACCGAGGTGCAATTTGAATTCTTTGCAGAAGATTTAAAACAGTGTTCCAGACAGATGACGCCAAATCTGGACATTAATGTCAGAATTTTGAGTCTCGGATATTCACGTTTGAGATTCGATGATGAAATTTGTCTTTTCTAAAAGGATTATTCAAGATATCTAGTCTACATCATTGCTAGTTGTTAGCTTTTATTTTTTTTAATTTCTTTCAAATCCAACTGTAAGTACTATGGTAAATTAAAGAATGGAACTCTGGGATGTACTATAAATTCTTATTTTGGACTTATGCAGGACTTGCCAAGAACTTAATTTTAATAACAAATTTGCGTTAATATCAACGTCAAAGATATAGTCAAGGCGTTTGAGAATAGAAAGCGAGTAGTCATCATTTTCATGCCCGGATTACAAAATTATATTTCAACTTGATGATTACAAAATGCTGATTGCAAATTAAAAGTTTTCATGACAAACTAGACAAACTGCCAATAAGTTAAATTATTATTAATAATATTTTTGTGTTTACTGTAACTATTTTTAGAGCAAACCATTATAATTATCATATATAGAATATGACAGAAAGTGATAGAAATAATGGTGTTAAATCGAAGACCATATGTTATAGCAATAAACAATAGGCAACTGTGAGCGACATTAATGGAAACACACAGTAGATTGGATCAGAGCAGTCAACGACCTGCATCAAACGATCCTCACATCAAATATATTTTTAATATCTACTCTTCCAAAATCACAATGCAATATATGCTATGTCCCTTAGGGAATATAGACCATGTCAATGCGCGAGAAATATGTTCAATTCAATCGTTGATACCCTGCGCCAAACAAACCAAATGCTTGTGCGCAAATGCTCTCAACCCTTATTGATGGTAAATGAATTGCTTGTTGAATACTAGCGTATGTATTAATTAATCAATCAATTCCACTCTAAAACACACCTGGGCATCAGATTGGAAACAAAATTAGTTTTATCTAATTATTTAGACACAGTTTAGAGGCACACCATTGGGAATAAATATCTTACTGGTGATTGACAAAAGATGTGGAACCAAAGGCAAATAGAATGGATTAAATTAGTAGGGATTAGGATCTTGGTAGACTCAAATCAAATCATTTGGATATAATTTATTAAAACTAAATACTTTGTCCACACTATCAAATATTACGTTAACAAATATCTGACTTGCCCATATATGGGAATAATGATGTCATATCACACCCATACTTGGGCATGATAATGCCATAACACCACCATATACATGCAAACCGCAAGTAGTTATCACATAAAACGTAATAGTGCGGACAGACCTTAAGAGATTCTTCAACATTTTATTTATTGACCGTAATTATTTTAAGTGGGCGCCATTTATGGAACAAGTCTGAAGTGCAGGGGCCCACTTAAAAATTCCAAAATAAAGAAACAGAAAACAGGATAAAAATTTTACATTTAGCAACCAAGGTAAACTAACTTAAAAAAATATAAAAATCAATAAAACTGTGGTATAAAATAAAAGGTTAGATCTAATAAACACACACAAATTTTTTTTTACAAGGACTAGAAACATTTTGCCCAGGATCAGTGTTCTTATTTTTTGCCAATTTCAGGCTCAAATATGTCCTTATTTTGTTCTCATTTTACGTACTTTACAAACATTATTAATAGCATACAACAGTACATCAATATATTACTGTACTTTATTTATATAGAGGGTATTACACTTATAACTGCACACAACGTACAGAAAAAATTAGTTTTTTTTTAGTTTTTTAAAAATAAAAACCTCATTTGAAATTTCACAGATCTGCCTTAATTTGTTCTTAATTTTTAAGCAGTTTCAGCAGCCGTGTTCTTATAAAATGTGTATTTATTAAAAATAAGTGCGTATCGATAAAGTAAAACAATTTGTTTTTAAATGCAGGACCAAGTTGACCTGCTGTTGCAAGAGAAAACATTTATTACATCCTACAGCTATCATACATTTACTACTACAAGTTACTATGTAGGTGGATTAGTACTGTATCTTGCATATAAAAATGTAGACCTACTGCATGTTATGATGTAGGTCCACCACTTGTTACTTAGTTTTACTTCATTTTATGCATGCAGTGGCGGCACCAGCAGGGGGCTTAAGCCTCCCCATTGGTCTGGTCAAGCCCCCATCGGTCTGGTCAAGCCCCCATCGGCCAAAGCTCGTCGGGCAGTCGAACTGAAAAAAAAAAAGGCCTTATTTTTCCCATCCCAGCCATTTCCGGCCATTAGAAGTCCCAATTTTTTCCATACCCACCCCTGGCTCGGTCTTTTGGCCCTCAGATAGTACTGCGTGCTATAGCTACACCCATAAATACTCAGCCCCCTCCCCAGTTGGACATCTTAGCCCCTCAATAAATTATATCCTAGAGCCGCCACTGATTGCACGCCTACTGAAACTAAAAGTCAGGATGTAGCCTTCCATTACACAGCTAGAAGCAACATCTATCATTGCTACTAAAGTTCAAAGGTTAACACATAGCCACCTGTAAGTCATGAAGTGTTTAGTGACAGTAACAGCCAATTAAATGTCAAAGTTGTTGTCCACAACTCTTGGCCTACACACCTAGTCTTGATACAGTTTCTATACCAAATTTATTTTCATATTTTGTTTTTAAATTATACTTTGTGTCATTATTTCTTATTGGTTATTGGTTGAATAAATGTATACTGAAACATTGTTAAAAAAAATAATTAAAATGTACGTGCTATGTTCATAAATATTTGTAGATATTAAATGGAAGAACAACACATTCATAATGTTTTTTTATAGGCTATTCGATTGAACTGTAACAACAGAAATATAACATAACATGTTCACTCATTACTGTAACATTAGTTGTACATGGAATGTGATTATACACTCATGGACGAACAAAATCGTGGGCAACATCATTGCGATGACATCTCCTTTTGATTTCTCAGTTGTGTTTATTTGCCTTGGCATATGTTGCTGAAGTTGGCAAATGTAACAGCCGTAAAAAAAAAAAATGATTACATACAAGAACCCACCAACATTTATACTAACTATGAGGAAACGTGGCTCTAAATGCTTTTAAAGCCTCAACAGTAGTTTCATGCTTAATTACCAACTTTTATTGATAAACATACTTTATTTTATTTAAAATATATTGCAACCAATACTAAGTACACTTACAAACAACAGGATGGGACTGTTATCTATAAAGTTTCTTTTCAAGGCTTAGGAAGTAGAGTGGTTTTAGAAAAAAAAGTCTTGCATGATTTGAACTTAGGTCCCTGGGATTTTGTTAAGTGCATCTAAGCTTCTCCATACTACAAAGTACAACATGTCTTCTGCCAATTAGAAACCACATTGAGACTAGGGTTTTCATGTACTTTAGCAGATTGGTCTTGAATTAGAAAAGGCAATTAAGATTTTAAAAAATAGGCATTCATCCAGGGATGCAAAAAAGTGGTCTTAATTGGAGGATATTTAAATTAAAGGCTGGGTAATTATGTAAATAAAAAATGTAAATTCACACAATGTATCTAATATTATTATATCATAAAATATTTGTAAAATAATCCCAGTTGAATTAATATTTTTTCCCAAATATGTTTACTTGTTATAAATTTACTTTATTCAGCTGTTCCGTTTCATATTACAAATTTTTTTTTTTTGACAAATGAAATTAAACTGCATCGGCTTGTTAACTAAAAATTCAACACTTTTGGCATGTTCCAATGATATCTGCATAAATTTAACAGGTGTAGACAGATTTGTTTCATTAAATCAGATTGTGGAGTCACTGACACCAACTGTACAGTAGCAATGCAAATAGCAATTAATACTAATATTCCAACGCCTTTGATTTGTTGCAGCATATCCAGGGTATGAACTGGAAGTAATTCCCATCAAAAAGACATGTAAACCCTAATTAAACATAGTGCAGGATGAAGTAATTTATGGCATTAATTGTAGTATCTCTGTTTTGTCAGAGAAGCAGTTCTTTGGCCAATTTAATTCCATTGTACAGACATGATCGATTGTATTGTTGTGTTGTTGAAGAACTGAGGAATGGTATTTGAGCAAAAGCCCCAAAACCACTTACACTCAAAACTGATCACCAATTACTGCACTGTCTATTTGACTTAGAACTTTATGGAAAGATTTGATTCAAGATTAGACACAAATATGTAGGTTTGCCAATTTCATAGTATGGGTGTGCTCAATAGCACTCGTTGAGGGCAGTAAACATAAACATAAGCATTAGACGGAGACGAATTCCATGGGTTAAACAGGGAATTATGAAAAATTATTCAGTGGTTTAATGCAATATAAAGATGTCCTTAAAAGATGTCATATGCGTTAAATTGTGTTTAAATTAACTAACAATAACAGATGAAATATTGCATAAAATCTACGGTGAAATCAAATATTGTTTATATAGTAGAATTCTTTCTTGATTTGGTAAAAATTAAATTCATTTAATGAGTATTATTAAGTTAATTTAGCACTTTTTTTACTGACACAATGGTATTCGACAATGATACTAATGGGCGCAAAACAAACCGCAGGTGACCGGCGATGACAGTAACTGAACACAAGCCGGAATTGCGTGCGCAACATCCAACTCTGCATGGTGCAACACACGTCATATTTCCAGTCGCTCAAAATAACTTGGATTTAGAACAAATAGTACACACAGTGACCTTGACGAGAAGATCAATTTACACGATGAAAACAAAAAAAAATACAATTCTTTCCTTCTGGTCATTATCAATAAGTATCGATTTATTTAGAAACAGTCAATTTAATTAGGTATCCTCGTTAATGGGGTTGAGGCTAAATGAGTGGTATATAATATTCAATTGATGTCAGGGTATTAGTTTTATTTTTGTTATTCAATTCTTTTGATTAACATTTTCCCTCTGGGGATTCAACAGTACAGTCAACTTTTACCGCTTCTTCATATTCTGACAAGATAATCGACGTGGATATAATTTATGGAAATGGCAAGGATGAAGTACTTAATCATGGCAAAGCCAGAGAATTAATCATGTGGCATATAGATCATGTACATTGCACTGTAGGTTCTGAACAGGCTTGGAGTCTATGAGCTGTAGGTGCCCAAATCTGGGAGATCTCGGAAAGCAGGCAAGCTAGATGTGGTAGACACTAAGGACACACCAGGCATGCATAGGGTGATGTGATGTTGGTTGATTTAGTGGAGGCTTGCCTTTGGGATGAAATCTTTTACCAGGTGCTGTGAACCATATAGCTACGGGAGGGAAGGCTTGGTATGTTCTGGTGCCAAGGGGTTAAAAATGTTCCAAAGACGTAATCCATACTGTATTGTTTAGAACCACTCAATGTCTATGGATGGATAGTGTTTAACATGAAGATAAATTATGGCATGCATGATGCATACATGACAGTACATGATTGATGAATACGATTTATTACACAAAACTGATTTATTAATTTAAATGGTGGACACAAAATTTAACTTACTTTTTGTCTTTGAGTGCACCTTGTATAGGACGTCTGAAAGATTAAAAAAAAATCATTGTTATTATTGATTGATTATTTTTTAGAAAAGTTTTTCTGTAACATGAACTTTAAAGGAAAGTTATGAGTAGCAATTGGAGCCAGCATTCTGCACAATATTATTCAAGATACGGTACGAGCATGAAAAGCGATCTCTGCGTTTGTTCACCACGGAAACCTGACGATGGATGAGATACAAAAACAATAGCTAGAGGGAATGAACTTCTCAATCAAAAATTGAACTGCATTTAACGAAGAACTAAATGTATGCACTGGAGGCTAAGCTTGAGGCCATAGCACTTTGGAGTAACACGGCTACATCATGGTGAGCGTGACTAGCCTCTCCCCATAATGTTTGTAATTCTATGTAATTATTTTTTTATTGCCCTTGCTGGCATTCGCGCAAGTCTCTCGGATGAAAATTCTCGAAGACGGGCAGTGACAGATATTGGTTAATTGATGTTATGAAATGAAACATATTACGTGCAAACGTGATAGGGAGACGACTTTAGAATCTCAACGTTGGGCATCGCGAATAATAATGAGATGTTTCAAGGTATTTGAACTGCAGAAAATGCACATAAACATACTAAGTTTGATAAAGATGACACTGCCTGCATTTTCATTATCATGTAAAAAGTTCAGGGTTCGATAATATTTGACTGAGATGGTATGTAACATGTTTCTGCCACTTCAAAAATTCTAAAATGTAAAAAGCCATGTAGCAAGCATCTCCAGGCTGTAATAACATGTTTCACAAAAAAGCAATAATCATCTGATATGAATCATTCAAATCCATTACTAGAATATATCGAGCTGGCCAGCACTCAGCTTATTAACCAGTTAAACTGCAATTCTACTGCTAAATCCATGGGCTCACTCACTTAGGGCCTTACCTAGCAACACTGAACAATGCTTAGCAACAGCTTGACTCAAACCAGTAATTTTTAACCAGAAAGGCCTAAGGGTCCAAAGACTACGTTGGCCTAGCAACGCTTCAAGCTTGCTAAAAACATTGTTGGTGATGGTACAAGGAACAAATTGGTTTGAATAACATAAGTGTTAATATAGTCAGTAAGGGTTTATTCAATATTCATTAAATTAATTCTAGCTTTAAATAAAATTACTATACTCATCTTTGTTATAGAATAAACTTTCTTTTAATATGAACACATTTTATAAGAACACATTTTATAAGAACACTGAGGCTAAAATTGCTTAAAAATTATGAACAAATTGAGGCTGAGGTAAAATGTCAAACAACGTTTTATTTTTTTTTTAATAGAAAAGCCAACAAATCTACCTGTAGCTTATTTACAGTAAGTACAGTATGACTATGTAATACCCTCTATAATACAGTACAGTAATATACTGCTGTAAAATAATAATTTTCGATGTTTAAAAAGTGTGCAAGAATAAGAACAAAATAAGAACATTTTGAGCCTGTCATTGGCAAAAAAATAAGAACACTGAGCAAAATTTTACTGGTTCTTATAAAAAAGTGTACTGCATAAATAAAACAATATATTGAAACCGTGATGCGACATATACAGTACTTGACTAACCAAGCTTACATTTACTAATATTATATTCATGTGTGACCTATATGGCAAAATATTGAAGATCAGAATCACAAAACATCTTAATATAATTTGGCAAGTGATAGAATTATGGATGAAGGAGAATTAGAATTTTAAAGTATGTTATCAAATACAGTAAGGAATGCGAGTCCTAAAGTAAAACATTAAATGGGTCACAGGCGATAACTTATGAATGTAATTGGCTGCATCAGAAAGGGGCCTAGAAATGAGATTGTCAAAATTAATGTGTAAAGTGGGGTCACAAATAATTAAGAGTATATGAACGGGTCGAGGTGAAGGAATGAAATAGATTATTCTGTATTTTGTTTCAATTCAGATTGATTATATGAAGCAAAATATAAGGAACAATAAGTTTAATAAATATCATTTAAAATGACCATTCAATCACCAAAACACAGGATATAACTAACACATGAGCTGACAATCCACAGTACAAGTAACTCAAGACAACTACATCAAGATTATACCATTTTATTAGAAACAGGATGTTATAAATTGAGAGCAGTTTCAGCAATTTTAGTCTAGGTCATGTGCCAGGAGCATATGCATCTGACTTAATAAGCCCAGCAGGGAATACACTGCTTAAATATATCTGCGATTTTCACTTGCTCAAAATAAACGCCCAACACCGGATAAATGCTCACTTGGAGGACCCTTTCCAACAGCATTAAACAAACAAAATAACACACATTAAAAAAACAAGGACATAACCCCAGAAAAAACATAAGTAGAAATTACAAAGGTAATGTTGTTGCAAGCAATAATAAAGGGCAATGGATCTGAATGAGGGGATTAAGAATGTGAAATACAAGATAATATCCAAGGTATGCATTCCTGTGCCCTATTTAGAACATTTTTGCATTCATCAATTCGCCAGTTTCAATGTCTCCTGTGGTATTTCTATTTCTATCAACATAATTTTACCACTAATAATTCTTTTTCGTTTTTTTAAAATTAAAATAATAATTTAAAATATATTCTTAATTAAATACACAGAATTTGCATTATAGGCAAAATAGTTATTTTTATACATGAGAAAAAAAAAAGATCCTTATACTTGTAGGATTTGAACCTAGCAAAGGGTGGGTGCCTTAACTTGAGCTTAACTTTAATATAAACAAAACTAGAAATATATGTCTGTCTCTTGCCTTATTCATTTTTGGGGGCTGCCACCTCTTTCCGACTTAACAAAAAAATTTCACAAAGCTAAAAACCCAAAAAATCTGATCATCCTGATTGCACACACGTTTATGGATGTCTAGACTTGGCATAGGCCTAAATACTGTATATATGCCTGTGCGAGTGGGTGTGATGTGGCCTTTTTTGCAATGGCCACGTCCTCCTCAAAATAACCTGAACAAAGAACAAGTTTGTCGAACAGTACTGCCAACAACACTGTTAAAGTTGATGGGATTGTGGCGGAATTTCCTCTATGCTGAGACTGATACAAATTTCTAGACACTGTGATATAGTTGAATTACCAAAACTTTATGCAAGACTTGCTTTCCAGTGAAAAGTCCTAACCACAAACCCTCTACTCAAGGGGCCTTCCTCTAGAGCTAACCACAAAAACCTCATGGTCATTAATCCAACATTTACATTTATTACTATAAGTAAACCTAGACATAAAATTCATATCCTTTAACTCATTTCCTCCAAAGATGTTTAAAAATAATTTTTTTTAACTAGTTTACTATTATCAATATTTCAAACATCAGAAAAATCTTCATGGTTGTCACTATTAATTTTAGGAATCCTGTTATTAACATAACATTACAGGATGTAGTACTGCAGCAGAATGTGTCGCTATATGTACTGTATGGAGTTTTTTTATTGAATAAATTATAACTGAAATATATTTCAAAAATATCGCTCATTAGAAGTAAATATATCAAACGGTGAAATGTGTCATAAACAATGCCTTTACCATAAAATAGATTTTTTATTATTGTAACAGATGGTTGAGGACATTAAAGCACCCCGCCTACAAATTGCACACATCAAGGTTCAAATCCTGGATGATACTTTAACGCATGATGTGTGATGACCTTGGGACTAAGCCACATTATCTAGTTCCATGTGGGAATTTTCACAAACTCAATCAAAAGCAATCAACCGCTGCTACACTTAACACTCAACACTATTTGCATAAATGTAATTGTTATATTATATTTTTATTTTGCCAGCAGATAGTTGGTACCAAACTGATCTTTCTTTTTCATTGTTAGTATAAGTTGGTGCATCAAATTTTATAAGCCTTTAAAACCACATTTCGTGAGCATGATTTATTACTAAATGTGCCCTCAACAATGGAATTGAGTTAAATGCTGAATGATAATCATGACTGTGCTATACAGGGTTGTAGCTGTAGAAACCTATGGGTGGGAGATAGACATTTTAAGAGTGGTTGGGTGATAACATTGGTAAACTCTAAATAATTAGAGTGGATTTTAAGGATGGGCAATGGGATGAATAATGGTAGCAGGCAGCCATGAAATTAGCTTTAGACTAGGTGGAAAAATTCAAGGCTGGGTGGTCCCACCAACTCCGCCCTCCACATACATCCCTGGGTATATTCTATTTTCAAGAAATGCTATAGCCATTTGCATTATTAATGGCAAAAGAAACCATAACTTCATTCTAATGAAAACTTGGTATTAATTTCTCTAGGTTTCATGTATTTTTTATTTTTGTTACTATTTACCTTATCTAAATTACTAATAATCTTTAGGGAACTTGTTTATAAAGACTCAGTAACCACGGCTTGCTTTGTACTGTTTGTGTTGATTTGATTGGATGTTATTCCATACTGCAAGAGAAATAAATAATATTGCAGGCATAGCTGGCAGTCAATGATTTCAGTCTTGCAACCACTTATTCCTTTCAATACTTATTATTAAATTAGATTTTTTTAAAAGTTGTAGGCCTACATTTTAACAAATATCAGCATTTATAATAATATTTTGAATTAAAAGTACATCAAAACAACAATGACATCAATCTCCAAATAATTATTGGCATATATTTTCGCTTTAAAACACAATTCGGTTTTTATATCTGATTCTAGTCTCACTTAATGGTGCAAAGCCTAGTCTCTCTTTTCGAATGTACGGTATAAAGTAATGGGATCAGTTTCTGATAAGGAAGGAACTGAAACCTTTTACAAGATTGATGTCACTTCATTGATTACATACTAAAGCCTGAGAAAACACTTGACTCCTATGCACCAAGTGAATTGCAATAACATGAATATGCTGCAAAGGCGTTGCTATACCTACAGTACTGTATCATCAAACTAACTTCACAACAACACTTGCTCTGATAGATTTTTATAATAGATAAAATTACATGTGTTTTGTCACCTTGTCAATAATATAAGGACAAGTGACTACAGTATTCTAAACTGCATGGCCCTATTTGATTGACCTATTAAAAAAAAAACTTACACCCTTTATAACAAACAATTTTATTGTCAAGTCATTGTAAACTAATAAAAACCGTACTCATAATAATACTATTCTACTATTTGCCATTTGTTGAGTGCTATTTAATAAAGATCTGAGTTGTTATGTATGCTTTATAAAGCAAGAATCATCAAAATTAGGCTTAGGGAGTGTAGCTTTTAAAATATAGTGAGAAGAAAAATCCTGGTTTTAGGGAGTAATTACCAGACTGTCAATCAAACCCAACAATCCTTTCAAATCCAGTGGCGTATCTAGGGGTGTGCAGGGGCACACGGCCACTCCTTCCCAAAATACATGTGCTCCATTCTCCCCCAAAAAATCACACTCAAGTAGTTAAAATCGCCTCAAAATGACCTAATCATTGATCCCCCACTTCACCTATTTCAAGACTCCTACAGTAGATGTTACTTTACCAATACCAACATGATATTCAAAGGTGGGGAGGGGGAAGGGGAAGCCAGGATTATGTGTACTGAATGCTCCATAAACCTGTATGTGTGAAAGCAGTTGGACAATGTTAGTGCTGGAATGCAGGCTCTAAAAATCATCACAAAAATGTTGTATAAACAAATAGATTTATACCAGCTAAATAACCACTGCCTTTATATAAAGATAGAACTTGTTTGAATTATGAAATGTAGGCATACTGTATGTTCATTCTACAGAGATCTGTCTTTGTGAAATGTAAATTTTGAGAGACAATGGAAACAGATTTGGCAGTGCTGAAACAATTATCAACTTCTGGAAATGGTTCAAGCTAGAGATGAAAAACGAAAAACGAAAAAGCTAGTCTCAAGTGGAGACTTGTTTACTTGCCGAGGACAGAAAATCCAAGGCTAGGTTTAAGCCCCCAGGGAATTTATGCAATTTTGCAGGGTCTGAATGGTGTTTTGAGGCTGACACAACAGAAACTTGAACTTAGCATAACACAAACACTATCTTAGCACAACATACTGAGTAGTAAGGCAAAGGTGGCTAGCATGCTATCTAGATTATATCTAAAAAAAATCACGTAACAGACACATGGAAATGCTTAGGCCAAATTTTATATTTAAAAAAAATATAGTTCTTGTCTTCTCTTTTATCTTTATTTTCTGGGAGTGAAGTCTTGGTGGGGCAGTGGAATCCAGGGGCAGAAAAAAGCCTTGGCACCTAGAAATCTGTGCGAATCTGGGCCATTTTAAGCAGTTCTGAGACATTTAAAATGTATTATACCTTCTTTCTCTATGATTATACCCAATCATAAAAACAGAAAAAATAATATTTTATAATTTTCTTGGTCTGAAGAGTAGAATAAAAATAACTGTGTGTGTGTATGGGGGTGTGTGTGTGTAGTAGCTAACAAAAAGTATTCTACAAAAATCATGAGAAACTTTTTTTTGCTTTATTTAATGGTCAATAACTTCACAATGGTGAGGAAGCAACACAATATTGCATGCCATGGTAGTATTTACATTTAATTTTATCTTTTTGGTGTTAACATAAATACTGCAGTTGTTAATGTACTTTATTTAAACATTAAAATAACTGGGAAATAGACCATAACTCCAGTTATTTATGGCTGCTTATAGTAAACTTTTTAATCACAAAAACTATAGATAAAAGATTATTTATTGGTTTGTAGCAACAGGCAGGACTAGAGAAGAATTATGTGTGTCCCTGACCATAAAAATTATCTGTATGCATCCAGCACCAAACACATTATCTTTACAACATATGGCCCAACAGCGGTTGTTTAGAAGGGGGAGGGGATTTCAAAATACGCCTTTGGCCATTGGCCGTACAGTCATACAATTTTCCCAGCCCTGATTGTAGGTATTATTAGCTAACTAGAAGGACTGGATAACTAAAATGCACAGAAAAATAAGTATGACAAAACAATAAAAGATAGCAAGTCATGCCAGAGTGATCAACTTAACAAGACAAAGACCAACTGAGGGAAACTTTGGTGAGAAACTTTGAGATATCATCAAAGGCAGATTGAACCACTATAAAAGAATAATGATCGATAACAGCAAATGCCTTGTTTGCTTTCCAAGTTTGATTATGCCGACAGATGATGCGTTAACCAGAAGTTCTAAACTAAAAAAAAAACAACATTGAAAAGTAAGTATGTTGTCAACCTTCAAAATATTATGTAGGTCAACTGTCTATTTCTTTTACAAAAATGAATATTGTAATTAAAAATGTAGAAAAAACATTTGAAACTGTAAGAACCTTGTTCATGTTTTCGAATAAATACACTTAGATGTTGAGAATGCAATAACTTGCCAATTAAAAAACAAATCATAATTCAATGACGAGGATCATTCATTCCAGATGAAAGAGTGATAAAACGCACTTTTCACTGACATCTGACATTACAGATCTACTATTACATGCCAGTCAAAACCATCATTTGCATGTATTCAATCCAAAATGCATTTTTCTTTTTTCTAGGCCAAACAAAATTACAGATCTGTAAATCAAATACATCATGTGACATGCATGAACTAGGTCAGGTTGCCAGAAAAACACAGATGTAATTACCAATTTAACAATTACACCAGCACCTATGGGGGATTATAGTATAATCAATGTACAAATTAAAGGGTGCGATTTTACAGAGATGACACAATTCTACACTAAGTTAATCAACTATATTGAGTCGGCCAACTGTATTTACAAAAATAGACAAGCATTTTAATTTCTTTACAACATTTATATGCGTGTTATCCGACCTTAATTCAGTTACATGTAAGCCACAGCTTAAAATGAACTATCTATTCTTGATTAATGTTCCTCTTGTTAATACGGACATGATAAGGAATAATGTAATTTCCGAACTGAACTTGCAACTGTCACCTGAGAAAGTACATGGACTCAAAAATTAATGATGAATAGAAGAACAATTAAAAATGTAATTCAACGTTCATGAGTTAAACCATTGTCATTACACACCCAGCCCCTTCGATTTAAATTAGCCATTTTCCCCCTCATCTGTCATCACAATTAATCATGTTTTTGCTTTTTTTTAGACTTTTCTTTACAACATGGTTATTTTTTTTTTACTTTCGCACTACATTTTTCATCACAATATTTCATTTTTACAATATTTATTAAACTGAAATTCTAATTCTTTTAGATTAAGAATAATTTGTTATGTATTGTTAAGTATGTGGAAAATATCAATAAACAAACAAAACAAAACAAACTATTCTAAAAAATAACTAAACAATAAGAATGCTAATAATAATCAATAGTAATGAATCTGTCAATAAAATGAAACTTGATAATGCAATTAAAAACACAATCATTGATACATTAGGGAAATTACTTTTAGAGATGAGGAATAGACACTTTAGACAGGGTAGCAACTTTTACTTTAGCACAAAAAAAACATACAAAAACCTAATTAACAAGCAGTAAAGATGCACATAACAATTCTCATTACGAGAGGCACACTTAAATACACAAATCAATGAAAAATTCTGTGGACACTTGCGAGGATTTTGAGTGGACACAAAAACTCAGCTAATGAAAAGTCCTGAGGCTAGGAATAATGCAGAGGGAAAAGGATACTATCAACTGCTGTAGAAAAAGCAATGACCCACACATGTTTATTAACAGGTTACAGGTAGTGGAGGAACGTCTTTTAATTCTTTAAGTGAATATAAATCATTTTTTGGTTAATCCTCATTATGATTAAAGCATATAACTTAAAACTGGGGTATACAAAAATAATGAATAATAATTAGAATAAATCTAAAATTAAAATTAGTAAATGATACCCTGTAGTAATAGAACTGGGAATAGAATGTATTATTTGACCAAAAATTATTACAAATATTCTTATAAATAAATAAATAAAAAATAAATAAATAAATAAATAACAAAATAAAAAAAAAATAAATTAATTAATTAAAAAAAAAAAAAATTAATAAAAAAAAATAAAAAAAATAAAATAAATAAATAAATAAATAATAAAAATAGTAATTCAACATCTCCCGGATAACATGAATTAAAGCCAGATAATGATAACAATTTAAAATCTACAATGTCAAAGCCATTGTTTAGACAACAGCCTATACTGTGTTGTTGTTAATGTTTTTCTTCATGAAGCATTTACAAATACATTCCCATGATTTATTTCCTGTAGACAAGTGCTACTTCACAAATAAATAAGTTATAACACGATAACATTCAGCTTAAAAAGTTTTTGAATAGTCACTGGTGTGTGGAAATGCCACCGTGGTCGTCAGTGAAGATCTCATAGGGCCTGTTTCTGCTGAAGAACGCCAAAAAAAACCGTTTCGGATAACCAATTTTCGACAAGAAAAACGGTTTTCTAAATGTGTGGTCATTTTTGTGTTGATGTCATTTTATCCCATACATATAATCTGTTGTAATTAATTTCCATTTGAAGTTTAATTTGATGTGTGTGCTTCTTTCACGATCCCCCAGAATATTATTTAACATGTCATAATATGGACAAGTTATTCTGTCTCTACCAGGCCTACTATTATGGTCCTTAGCCAATGTGTAGGCCCGTCGCAACCGCTTAAATTTATTGGACTTGCATTGATGTGGGCACTGATGTCAGTTCAACTCCGAATTTTTTGATCGGAAACAGGCCCTTATTATACTTCCACATCAAGTGATACCTAAACTGATGTATTCACAATGTGGTATTGTTCATGAGGTCACAGGTCAATGTGCCAGAGACAATTATTCTCTTTAAAACTAAATACAAGATGAGCAATCAAGTGTTTGAATAGTAAATGATACAACAAAAACAATGTTTACTGATCTCCTTAAAAAAGTGGAGCCATGCGTAAAATGCAAATAAAAATCTTGACCCTTATATTAATAACACGATTTAAAAACAACCTGATTTAAATATTATGATCCAAAAGAGCGATAGACTGTAAGATAAACAAACTTTACTTTCTATTAATGGACTTTCCTTTTTCCGGAGCTAGATCAATCCTGGTTTAATACTGTTGGCTGGTGTTTCTTTTTGTCCTTGATGTTCCAGATGCACATATGTAATGTAAGATGCTTTTTGATTCATTTTCATTTATCCATAATTTTAGGTAAATATTTACAGAACGTTTAATGACCCAAAAAGAGCAACTGGTAAAATTACAACAAATGAAAAGTATACTATTACATATAGAAAGACCCATCATCCTGTCAACGACTAATCTCCATTCAGAGAATCCAGTGGGTGCAAACAGATTTGACACATGACATTGCTGTACTTCCCATTGTAACCTTGAGTTCAAAGCATTGTTGGCTTTTATCCACATGCTAGTGTAGTACGCCCATACCTTCATAATTATTGGCTGATAAAAAACAAACACTGGACTTGGACAAATGCCAAATTACCTGATAAAAATAATATTCATAGAATTGTACACTACTTGAACCACTACAATGAAAATAAACTGAATGGTTGTATTAAAAACAGCATAATATTTTGGCACAACATAATGCCAAAACAAGGATTATGAATATTAATATATCAAATTGAATATGAATATTTCCTAACTGAATATTCATAAAAGTTGAAAGTGGAACTAAAGTAGTCTGGGAAGATTTTACTATGTCTAGACTGCTGATACTAAAATATACTTTTTCTTTTATAAGACCAGTAAAATTTGGCCACAGCTCGGTGTATTTTAGCCAGCTTCAAGTTCAAAATGTTCCTATTTTGTTCTTACCTTACACATATATTAAGACCTACAGTACCATACTGAATATATAAGTCCAGGAAAAACCAAAAGAATTTAACTGTTTTTAAAATTTTTTTTTTATGGTTTTTCTTTTTTGCTTTTTTAAATAAAAACCTCATTTGATATTTTACCTCAGCCGCAATTTGTTCTGATTTTGTTCTAATTTTTAAAGTAAATTTCAGCCTCAGTGTTCTTATATAACAATCCACAGTACATTTTTTACAAAATATATGATTCATATTATTATTATTATTAGTCATTTTTGTTAGAATATTTGGCTACCAGTGACTAGCTTACCTAGTATGGTATTAGGGCTTCAAGTCACACACAACTACCCTAGTTAAACCAGAAGACCGAAACCAAAAACCAATAAAAACATGAAGATTATTGTGTGCAAGTCTGTTGAGATACATTATGATGATCACAACCTACTCAATTTATCTTCTGAGAAAAAAAGCAGGAAAGAGGGATCGAAAGATGAAAGTGTTAAACGGAAGGTAAATAAAAACAATTGGAAGGCGCTGCATACTCCAGGGATTGGTGCATGATTTTCCAATAATCCATAAACAGAATGTATATCGATGGGAAACTGACAGAAGTTTGGAATGACTGCAAATTCTCTAAAATGCAATTTAGAAACTCTATTGATAGACCACAGAAAGCCTTTCAACATCATCCAAGGCTAGTTATTCATATTTTTACTGGGTCATGTTGTTCCTATGGGAGGCTAGAACTAACAACACTAACTGAGAACTAATTTATCATTGTACACTTGAACAGCCCATTGCAAAAGTAAATTTTCCAGTATCAATTGTGTGACAAACTTAGCTATGGTAGATAACTAAGGCTTTCATATCATAGAGTACTTACAGTAATTTATAATATATGTATTTTTAACCTACCAATTTTTAATGTTCTCCTATTTTAATGTTTTTTTAATTGCTCTGTTAAATTTTAACGTAAATATTACTGTAATTTGTAAATCTCCTGTAATTCAGCCTTTTGGCTGCTAGTTGAAGATCAATAAAGAATAAAGAATAAAAAAGGAAAGAATAAAGAATTTATTACGGTACTTATTCCTGAAAATTACTTAGATGCAAAATTTAGATTTGATATATTAATTAATTCACAAGGAATTTTTGAAAAAATACTTGGAAAATGTTAAAAAAATTAGATATAAATAAATTTAACTAATAAACAAATATTGTATTTTTCCATAGCAGGTTAATATTAATGTATGCTACACTTCAGATAATGTAGAGATAGGAATGATTCTAATAATGTTATAAATATAATGATGAGAAATACATTGGCAAGAAGAAGCATTGAATACTGCTAGGGGATAGTGTACTTCATGTACGAGAACACCACACCTAATAAGGATGTATATTACATAATCCAAGTATCAAAATGCACGCCATTGTGTCGGGATTCAATATTTCGACATTAGTTATGTCATCATCAGGAATGATACCATACCAGACAGTCCATACTTTTCACAAATCTACCCATTCTGAACTCCTTAAACTAAAACTGACAATCGTTCTATCAGTGTTTGCTGTACTTGTCTTATTTGTCACTGATGATGCAAGACAGTTTTTTTTTCTTCACATGCAAAAAAAAAAGTTCAATACCATCACAGGTTGCATTTACCGTAACCTATATGCAAATCACTTAGTAACATAAATCTTGCGATAAAAAGCAATTGCAATCGTTAAACCTGATACAAAATTAACGCAAAATGTGCCAAAATCTACTACCTACTATGCTGTATAAATACATTTCCTCATTGAAGTTGCCAAAATTTTACATGAAATAGTTTTCCATACACTTTAAAATTAGCTGATATTCGTAATACATATTTTAAAGCATTTACATCTTTTGTCAGTTCATTACTATCATTATTAAAGGTAAGTAGTTAAAAATTATATGTTTTGTGTATCGTATCCTGGGCACATAAGGATAACAGTTAGTTTCAATTGAGTTGTTCACCCAGGTTAAAACAAGAAATAAACAAATAAAGAAATCATAAAACATAAACTGGAGAGGTAAATACCATTAAATTATGCCAGAAAGCATACTGAAACCCTTCAGTTGTGCATGGACACTAGTATTTTAACATGAATTTATAAGGACAGAGACAATGCCCTCTGAAGTGTGGGGCTGGTTTTATTGATTAGCATGCTGGCTATACTCTCATTATTCAATAGTAGAAATCTATACACTCATACTGTTAAGTGAAACTATTTCCTGTGTCAATAATTGTTACATGTCAATTGTTTTTAATATTTTAATCCACTACATCATGAATCAATGTACTTACACATCTGACCCGAAAGTGCTATAATCTGATTACAATTGAAATAAAATTGTGCCATTCTTGTGACCATTGTTTTATAGTTCGAAAAACTTTGGCCTTAGTTACCATGTGTTGGCCATATCAGTTGACGTAAATCGCTCAGCTTCGTGTGTGCACAATGGCATTAATTCAGCTTACATGGGCAGTGTTAACACCGTGCCAGCACATACGTGTAGTATCTGCCACCTTGCTGAATTACTAAGTCTATGTTGATCAAAAATTAAAATTGATTGCTATGTAAAATTATCGGTATGGGTAACTAATAATATAACATATGTTGTAGTCACAAACGCTACAAAACACATTCTGGGTGAGTTATCACTATCAATACAGCGATGAACCAGATACACTCGCAAAATTCAATAGGCTAAACTAGCATTCACTGTTTTTAATCTAAATATTTGTGACTGAATATGTGGTAATATATTGAAAATTCTAGTGGAACATCAGAGGAATTAACGATTGATTCGTACCCTGACAAAAAATCCAATATTGTGGCGCAAACACTAAATGAGAATGACCAATTATGGTAAAAACACACAAGTATACAGTATGAAGGTCTTCCATTTGAAATAATAAAAAGCAAAGTGTTTATTATCTATAAATATAATACAACAATCGCAAAAACAAACAGCAGTAAAGACAAAGATCTTCAGATTAATAAACTCCACCAATGATAATTGTCAGTAGCTGTAGTAGGTGCGGGGTCTCGCAGCTGGCCCGAGGATTTTTGTTTAAAATGGGGGAAAAAATTACATTTAAACTTAAGTCTGAGTGCGATTTTCGTGCCATAGCCATATAATAAAACCTCAGCTCCAACCATGTTTGGGGCTGAGATGGTCTGGGCCTCCATCTGTACAAGTCACTCCCTGGGCCCCTTCTATTTTGTCTTGTGTGCCTGCCACTTATTGATGAAAGTTAAAAAAAATATATATTTTTGTCCTGATGACAGTGTACCTACCAATATAATTTTTTTTTACTGAAATATGCGGAAAAATTCAATGTTACTATGTCTTAGTATTATTAATTTTTAATAATTACATATCAAAATTATGTATTATACCAAAAATCAATACTAAATTAAACTAATAAACACAATATTATGCTAATATTATTATTAATATCTTTACCCAACAGTATATTTTATCTTATTAGATACTAGCCTATATTGCTACTAACATTTTAATCAAGCATTTAACTTCAAAGTAAACATATTCATACCATCTGTCAGGCAGTAGGTTAATTTTAAGTTTCAATAAAAATTGCAAATTTAATTACATATACTGAGTACAAACCATAAAAAAAAACCAAAAAAAACCCCACTATTATTATCACATAAAAGCAGATTTGTCCTGGAGGGACCTGAATGCATCATTTGGTTTGGAGTTTTAATACGCAATGTGACTCATTTTATATTTTTGCTCTTCAATCTTCTATCATTTGTTGATAAAATTTGAAGAGCAAAAATACAAAATGAGTCATATTAACTCCTCTTTCTACGGAAACACAATTATAGGCAATATTGCATAACTGCATTGTGCAGGGCAGCACTGGCTGGTGCTCACTGAACTGAGTTCAATGCTTTCCAAGTGTTCCCTGGATACATCAGCCATGCAAGGAACCAAACTCAAGATACTTTGGCAACCAGCCAACTAGGATGATTTGTAAGGTAATAATGGTAACAAGGACCGTAGATCGACCAATCACGTTTTGGTAATTAAGTTTCTTGTCAAGATTCACAATCAACATAATTATTAGATGAAAATCAAAATTATATATACTTCATTGTCCACAAAAATATATATTTTGTAATTCTCAAAAAAAATTATCACAATTATTTCCATAAGATTAATCCTAGTTAAGCAGCATTAATAATGTTTGCAACATCTTTCCAAAATTATATCAGAATTTGCATACACTTACAACAAAATTAT